ATTAGCAATGGATTATATTTACACTAAGTGAAAATAGTGTAAATAGCATATTGCTAAAATTACTGCTAAGTGCAAATACCTATTTACACTATGTTAAAATAGCAGTATTTCTACTATCAAGTATACTACTTGTTGCAAATAGTGGCAATTATCTGCACTTCAGTATTGTAGTACATTATAAAACAGTATGCAATAACGTATTGAGTGTAAATTATAATTTTAATTATTAAATGGATGCCACCTTATTGGTACAATAAAGCCCTCCCTACACCTACCCTAACCCTACCCGATACTTTATTTTCAACTTTTTGATTATTTCCTTAATTTTTATTGAAAATAAATGCCTTTACGATGTGATACGAGATTTGAAAAGGGAGAAAAAAAAAGTTTGGCAAAAGGTAGGATCGAACCCAGGTCGATCGCGTCAAAAAGCCAAGGGCACACGCTTATCCATCTGCACCACTGGAGCTGTTGATATACAGCCACTTTTAACTAAATGTAAATAGACACCCCGTATTTTTTATTCCAGAGTAAGGGCAATTCATACAATACATTTAAACTGAGCTACTTTAATACCATTTCTGAACTTTCTACCACGACTCTGCTGTTCTTCGGCTGGTTCTTCCCTGTATACGTTGATTGACAGATGTCTCGTCCAGTCAGCGGTGAGTAATCCCAAACCAATGGCACTGTCTCAAACTATACCTACCTCTTCCAGTTTGTCTGATTTGTCATTGTGTTTTCTGACTTGTTATAATGTTTTCTGAATTGTTGTTGTGCTTTCTGAATTGTTATTTTGTTTTTAGACTTGCAGTTGCATTTGTAATTTGTTATTTTGTTTTCAGAATTGTGATTTGCTTTGCACTGCTCGGCCACCGTAGAAACATCAAACCGCAAGCGAAACAAAAGCTAGTGAAACGGCGCTACTCGTTTGAGCTGTGCAGTGCAGACCCTTTATCAGCTCGGATCAGCGCAGAGCAAACAAACTTCTCCAAGCTCAGAACAGGTTTACTCAGGAAGCAGTGTTGATTTCGTGACACTGTTACTGCACAGTGTGCGAGATCCAGTGAGAAGCACTTGAATTTGCTGCAGAATGAATAAAGGTTGCTGTGAGCTCTAGTGAGAAGCATTCCAATTCTGCACAGAAATCTGTTATAAACAGGTCAAACAGCGCTGACATATAACCAGAAGTAGTAACGCTAACTATAACCATGGTGTTGTGGAAGAAAGAATTACTTTTCATTACATTATGCATTTTAGGGTTTCTACAAACTTTTGAGAGAGAAATTCAAGCACTTTTAAGTATTTACAGGACTTTAAAACTCTAAAAAGCATACAATTAAAATGTTATATTTAAAGGGATGACCAAAATATACTTTGTGGTAAACAAACACTTTTGTAAAAAATTTTCAGCAGGGTAATGATACCCATACTGTGCTGCACATTATTGACAATATCGAGCTGAAGCTTGAATT